ATTTCAGCTTTACAAGGGGATCTGAGATTCTGGGAGACTGAATTGTTGGCTCAGGGACATGAATTCAGGGTCAGACTGCTAGTGTTCGGACTGTGGCTCTGTCAGTCCACTAGCATTCTGACCTTGCACAGATTGTGTAGCCTCTGTGGGCTTTGATTTCCTCATATGATTGGTATAATGAGGCTACCAGTGATACTTCACGAAGTTGTCATGAGGGTCAAATGAGTTATTTACAGTATACTTGAGCAATACCTGATATATATCCAAAATATAAAAACTGGTATCTTGAACACATATGTATGGTTTTACAAGTCTGTTATCCCAGTTTACTGCCTTAAAACATGTCTCAGAACCAGTGTGTTTCACTGATGTACATTTTCTTTTGTTTTTCTGTCCAGTTCTGGCATTTCTAGTTTTGTTTAAAGAAAAAAGTTGCTTAGAAAAAGATTTATTTTTTATGTACTTCTAGAGTCTTGAATACACCACTTTCTTCTTGCCATTTTTGTTGAGGTGAGTTAGACTTTTGGTGAGCTGGATATTTATTTTACAAACATTTCATTAGGGTCTCTGTCAGTTTCTCTGTCTCTCTCTTTTGAAGATTTATCTATTTTATTGGAAAGTCAGATTTACAGAGAGAAAGATCTTCTGTCTGCTAGTTCACTCCCTAAGTGGCCACAGCGGCTGGAGCTGAGCAGGTCTGAAGCCAGGAGCCAGGAGCTTCTGAGTTTCTCACGTGAGTGCATGGTTCCAAGGCTTTGGGCCATCCTCGACTGTCTTCCCAGGCCACAAGCAGGAAGCTGGATGGGAAGTGGAGCAGCCAGGACAGGCACTGGTGTCCATATGGGATCCTGGTACATGCAAGGTGAGGACTTTAGGCACTGGGCTACCATGCCGGACACCCTAGTTCGTCATTTTTATTTTTGAGGTAAGAGCATTTAACCTAAGATCTATCCTCTTAAATTGCTGTGTGCTGCTCAGTATTGTTAATGTTATGTAGCTGACCTCTGAAACTTTCATGTTGTGTAACTTAGACTTTATGTCCATAGAGAGCAACTTCCATTTTTGCCTACACCAGGCACAGGCAGCTATTATTCTATTTCTATATGTGTGAATGCCTCATAAAAGTGAACTCATGAATTTCACTTAGATAAATGTCCTTAAGATTCACTTATGTTATCATGAATGACAAGGTTTTAGTTTAAATAATATTTTGTTTTAGAGACCAGTATTGTGGTGAACCAGGAGAAGCGACCACTGGCCTCCTGTATGGGAGCCCGTTTGTGTCCTAGCTGCTCCATTCTGATCCAGCTCTCTGCGAATGGCCTGGGATAGAAGTGGAAGATGACTCAAGTACTTGGGCCTCTGACACCAGGTGGGAGGCTGGGATGAAGTTCCTGGTTTCTTGTTTCAGCTTGGTTCAGCCCTAGTGTTGATGTGACTTTTGGAGTTGAATGAGCAGATGGAAGACTTCTCTTTCTCTCCCTCTTTCACTCTCCCATCCTCCTCCCCTCTTTCCTGTCCTCCCTCTTTCTCTGAAACTTTGACTTTCATATAAATAAATAAATCTTTTTTAAAAATTAATAAATTAATTATTTCATGATATAGTTCTAAAGGCTCTGGGACTTGCTTTTCCACTCTATCTCCACTGATTCCCCCTATTTTATTACAATAATATAGTCCATCAGAAAACAGTCGTAAGTCCATCATTCTGCTTGTTAAGTGTATCCTGACATTGTAGGTATTGACAGTGGCAGAGTTCAGCCTTCTGTTGTCAAGATGTATGTAACAGTTTAATTGGGAGTCCATCTTTGACTTGGAAGTAGAGATGCATATGGCATTGTATCTTCATGTCTTGATATGATAGTGTTTATTGTACAGTTCCTCTAGATGACCATTTGTACATGCATGTTTACCCATATATCTGTTGATTTTATATTTTGTGTGAAGGTTGCCTTTTATCAGAGAGAACCATGATATTTGTCCTTTGGGATTAGTTTGTTTTATTGAGCATAACGATCTCTAGTTGGGACCATTTGGTTGCAAATGGTAGAATTTCATTGTTTTTGCAATTAAATAAATATTAAAATTTTTTGTTTTATATCAATCCTCTACCATATTTTCTTAGTCCATTTAACTGTTTATAAATATTTAGGTTGTTTCTGCTCTTTTGCATGTTGTGAGTAATGCTATATTGAGTGTGGGATTATGTATCTCTCTTTGAGATTCCAGTTTCAACTCTTGGATAAATATCTAAAAGTGGGACTGTTGGATCATATAGTAATTCTATTTTTAATTTTTTGAGTGACCTCCATACTTTTTTGTGGTGGCAGTACTATTTTATATTCCTACAGTGCCCAAGGGCTCCAATTTCTTTTTATTGATATTTTGAGATTAGCCCTCCTATCATATGTGAAATGAGATCTCATTGTGACTTTTCATTGCATTTTCCTGATGATTTGTGGTATTGAATTTTTTTCAATGTTTGTTTTGGCTATTTACATACCTTTAATTGTTTATTTATGTTTTGTATTTGAGTTGTAGATGTTCTTTAGATGTTCAGGGCATTAATCCCTTATATAGAAGTGTTGTATGCAGATATCTTCTACTCCGTATGTTGCCTTGTGATTGTGTTAAGTAATTCCTTTGCTGTATAGGAACTTGATGTTGTCCATTTGTCTGTTGCTTTTGTTGCCTATGCTTCTGAAGTTATAGTTTTATTTTTAAGTCTTGAAGCCATTTTGAGTTGATTTTTAGATATGATGTAAGAGTTCAGTTTTATTCTTTTGCCATTGAACATCCAGGTTTCCCACCATCATTTGTTGAATATTTATTTAATCTCCCCAACTTGTATACTTGGAACCCTATCAATGATCTATGTATCAATGGATTTATTTTTGAGCTCTCTGTTCTGTCACATTGGTTTGATGGCTACCTTTATGCTAGCAATAACAAAGCCCATGTGAGCTTTGTAATATATTTTTAAAATTAAAATATGATACTTCTAGCTTTGTTATTTCTCAAGATTATTATTTTCCAAGATTGCTTTGGAGATTCAGTATTCTGTATGATTGTATGTGAATTTTAAGATTTTTTTTTTCTGTTAGTATTAAACATGGCAGATATTCTGATAGGGATTGGTCATGATTGCATTAAATCTTTAGATTGCTTTGGATTGTACAGACCTTTTAATAATATTAACCTTTTGGTCCATGAATATAGGAATTCTTTCCTTTTCAGTATCTTTCATTAATTTTTTTGTAGTTTTCGGTGAATAAATCCACCTCCTAGTTACTAAGTATTTTTTCTCTGTGATGCTGTTATAAGTGAGATTAAAAAAATTCCTTACTTGATAATTTGTTTTTACAGTATAAACATAAATCATTTTTATATGTTGATTTTATGTCTTGAACTTTATTGAATTAGTGTTTTCATTGATCCATTCATTTTATCTGTATGATAATTTTATTTATTTTATTTAAATTTTTTTGAATCTTTAAGATATTAAAATAAAATTTATTTTTAGTCTTAAGTATTTACACTGCTTGGATGTTGAATAAAATTTACTGGAATTTCAGCTTATTTTGTCTCTGTATTTCCAACATTAAAAAAATGTTTTAATGTTATTTGTTAAGAAATGATTTAGCCTGAATGTTAGCTAGCCACATCAGCTAGTTCCTGGCTTTGCCTTTGTAGGTATGACAGTTGCTGATTTCAGGCTTTTTGATAGCACAAAATACAGGGTAGTTTTAATCACAACTATAGTTTATGAGAAATAGAATTATTTGTTTTCCAGTTACTTTTTACAGCAAGATTAAGAAATGTGAATATGTTGAATAGACTTTTTTAGTATATGTGCTGCCGAAGTGAGCACAGAATAGACTTTTGAAAGTATTTATTAGTCACCTCATTGAAAGTTTAAAATAATTTTATTGTAAACATGGAACAGTGTAACATAGTTCAGAAGTGAAAGTCCCACTCTTACTTTGCTCTCAGCTACTTTAGTCATACTCCTAAGGCATTTATTGTTTAGTTCCTAAATAGCCTGTTAGAAATGTTCTGTGCATCTGGAAGAAAGTCTATTTGACTATGCAAAGAAGTGCATGGGCCTGGTGCGATTGCCTAGTGACTAAATCCTCACTCTGCAAGTCCTGGGATCCCATATGAGTGCTGGTTTGTGTCCCAGATGCTCCGCTTCCCTTCCAGCTCCCTGCTTGTGGCCTGGGAAAGCAGTCAAGGACGGCCCAAAGCCTTGGGACCCTGCACCCACGTGGGAGACCTGGAGGAAGCTCCTGGCTCATGGCTTCAGATTGGCTTAACTCTGGCCATTGTGGCCACTTGGGGAGTGAACCAGCAGACAGAAGGACTTTGTCTTTCCTTCTCTCTGTAAATCTGACTTTGAGGAAAAATAAATAAATCTTTTTTAAAAAAGCATAATGGAATTGTACATAGGTACACAAAGTCTATATATATCCTTTTTAAAAATTTTCAGTATTTTTATAATGTATTTTGAAATGGTTAAATATGTTTTTTTTTTTACATATGTACTTTTTTCAGTGTATTGGTATTCACGTTAAAACTGCAACCATGTTTCCTTTCTGCATGTTTAATTTAATGTCTCTAATTATTTTACTGATAGAGATTAGGAATAAAACTTCTTTGGTGCAATTTAATTTCATTATCATTTACAACCTTATTTTATGAGGACAGAAATTTTTAATTTGTTAGAAAGATTTCATTCTTGACACATGTTCTTAATATCTATCAATCTGAAAGTAGTGAATTATTTTGCGGTTGTGGGTTTATTATGAATGTTCTATGGGAGAATGGAAGAGGGAATTTTATTTCTGTGATACACATTGAATTTTTTTTAAACAGTGGACATATTTTACTTAAATCAGTATAATGATAGAAGCAGCAAAAATGTAGTGAGTTAGAGAAAATTTTTAGAAGTGTCCTCACTAACTAACATTGTTGTGTGCTCTTACTAATATTGGTTGTAGGCCTGTGTGGATGTAAGAGCCAGTTCAGTGTTTTGGCAGCAGATGGAATTTGCAGAGAGCCTCCATGGTCAGCCCAAGTTGCCAGAGTGGTTATCTACACACCCGTCCCATGGAAACAGAGCTGAGCATCTGGACAGGCTGATCCCTCAGGTAAGCTCACAATGAGCAGGGAAGGATTTTTTTTTTTTTAAACTATGTAGTTTATTTTGAATGCTGTTGTTTCTTTTGCTGTTTGTTGCTTGTAATACTATTAGTTCTTTTGCTTAGCCTGTCAGCTGTTTTCCTTACTAAAATCATGCATTATCATTTCTCACAGGGTCTGATTAAATAGTGAAATTCTATGTGTCCACAAGACTTTGGGAATGAATTACTGCATACAGTTGACATGTCTCAGTGGTGAAAATATAACATCTTTGATGTTAATTTTAGGTGATTTGCTAAAAGTTTAAAACTTAAAGCATAAGGTTTTCTGTTTCAACATAGTGACCATAATTCAGTCTTTTCCTGGATGATTTAAGCTTCTTGTTAAAAATGCCAGGTAATAAATTGTGTAGAACTTTTGGGTCAAATAAGTGTTTATTCCAGTTATTTTCTTAGGGAAAAAATGCATTAGTTTGCTTCCTCCTCTTTATAAGTTGAGCATACATAATCTGGCTTTTTAAAAAATAGCATCTATTAATGGGTCAAGCTGAGGCGGCTTTCTCCTAAGTAGTTTTCACTATCCTCTGGAAATCTTTTGATTTGTTACCATCACCCGTAATGTTTCTGTGGCTTCCATGTCAGCACAAAGTAGATGTCAAGGATCTCTGAGCTGGGTTCTGTGCTTCTGTCTCACTTAAATTTCATTTGCCAGCTGATTGTGAAAAACACTATTTAGGAACTTAGTAATTGGCATTGTGCTGCTTGCTATTCAGTTATAATATAGAAGCATCTTTCTGTGTAACTTCAAATTCAGGTAAGAATATATTGCATATCTATAAGCTTTTAAAATATATTCAAAAAAGGTTAGACGCAAGGAATAAGGCAGTCTGATATTTGCATATCTTTATGGTAGGTACAAATAAAATGACTTAACAGAGAGAGTAGAAATATAATGTCACGTGGTTAAAGGAGGAAGAATCTGCTTTTAGTTTCGAATAATAAACAAATACAAAATTTATTCATTTATTCATTTGATGAATATTGATCGTTTGTAATTCTGTGTTCTACGGTTTTTGTTTTTCTAGACCAACCATTCTAGTTAGGTAGCACAAATATCCCCAAAACATAAAGTATGTTATCACTGAGAAGCATGTTGGGAAAAATAAAGTCAAGGAAGGCCTTCTGGAACAGAATCTGGGGAGATGCAGGGGAATAGTCCTGTGGTGATTAAGTAGAACTTTTCAGGCTAAGAAAGTAGCTAAATATGCAGGAAACATGTTTGGTGTATTCAGAGAATAACAAAGATGACATTGAGGCTGAAAGCAATAAGAAAGGGTGCTAAGAAGGATGCAAGTTAGCCATAACAGATGTTCTACGTCATTCTAAGGACTTCAAGAGATTGAAGACGTTAGTGCAGGGTTTTGAATGTGGTATGTTGATCTGACTCATGTTTTACGGTGGTCACTGGGTTGCCTTGTGGAGTGGACTGCAGCAGGGCAAGGGTGGAGTAAAGGAATGATTTTGAGAAGCTCTCATTGTAATCTTGATAAGAGATTGTAGTGGTTTGTACTAAGGTATCTGTTAGTAGAAAAATAGTGAGATTCTGGGTCTGTTCTCATCAGATCTTATCAGTACAGGGGAATGGAGATGGTCATTTCATGTCACCTTAGACATCCTTGACTGGGTGAAGAATGTTCTGAGGCTATTGCTTGAGTGGTCTTGATTTGGCTTTGTTGTACCAGAGGGATTGAGCTTAGTGATCTAGTCTGGGAGCCCCCTAAGAAACTGCACCAGGGAGGTCTTCAGACCTGGCTCCGATAGGTGTCAGTTGGAGCAGGACCTGTCCCAGCTTACCCCCTATATTACCCTACATATGTGCCAAAGGGTTCACCTGCTTCAGTAGTCCTGCCCTCAGCCTTGGCTCTCATGCAAACTGGCAGATGTTACAGCCTAGCCCAGCCTTGCCCAGGCCCAGCCCTCATGTACACTAGCAGATACTATGGCCAAGTGGGGGCAACCCCAAAGAACCCCTACCAGGGCCACTTCCAACCTTGGCTTTTGTGAGCACCACTGTGTACTGCAGGCTAGCCCACCCAGAGCCTGTCCCCAGCATTGGCTCTCGCTGGCAGGTGCTATGGCTTAGCACAGCCCAGTCTGCTCCTTGCCCTGGTTATTGCCAGTGAGTGCTTCACCCTAGCCCAGCCTGACCTATTCCCAGCTCTGGCTTTTGCACACACTAGTGGGTACTGTGGCCTAGTCAGGGAGATCTTAAAGAACCCTTGTCAGGCCCACCTCCAGCTCTAGTTCTGAAATGTACTGGAGGATGCTCTGACCTATTCTCGCCCAGCTGACCTCCAGCAAAAACTCTTGCATGCACTTTGAGGTGCTATAGCCTGGTTGGAGCAACCCGAAGAACCCCGACTAGCTTACCTCTAAACACGGTTCTCACAAGGATCAGCAAGTGATGCCACCTAGCCTGGCCTCGTCTACCCCAGCCATTGTGCATGTAGGTTGGTGCACTGGCCTGGCCTGAGGAGCCCTCCAGATTTCTGCTTTGAGCCACCCTATCTCAGCTTCCTCTCTTACATGTGGGTGCAGTAGCCTGTTCTGTTGAAGCTCCCAGAAGCCATTTTATACATGTCCCTCAGTGGCCCCGTTCCTATCTGTTCCTAGTTCCACAGGCCTGCTCCCACCCCTCCCCAGCGCATTGCAGTGGCATTGACAGTGAGGCAGCACCAGCCAACATGCACCCACTCTGTCATGAGTACATAGCAGGTACTCTGTCCCCCCCCCCCCCCGCCCAAATCCTTAACAAAACAAAACAAAACAAAACAGTAGCTATCTATGCTGACACACTGGTATGATTAACACAGAGTTGGCATTGTCAAGCCAGAATACCAGCCAACTATTGGCTGCTTTTCTCCTAGCAGTATAGCGCTTGCCTAGGTACAAGGCAACAAGGCAGTTGCCTACAGCTAGGGTTCATATTTACTCTTAACATGAAGATTAAGTATTTCATGAAGGAACAGCAGTAAACTTTACCTGATACAGTATATACTGATCACTCACATTAATGGGGCAGTATAAGCCTGAGACAAAATGTATTTCATCAGTAACTGATTTGAACTGAGGCTCCCTGACTCTAGACCCAAGACCCAGGGACCTTCAAGCACTCTTCTAAGATCCTATAGTATCTCTAAAGCCATAATAGCTGCATAACTTTCTCTTGGAATTTTTGTTCTTTTTACTAAAATTCTAAAAATATTATTTGCTTGAACTGGATGAATTATTTCCAACTTTTATCTGAATCCTTTCTTAAATTCTGTGTGGTCATTTCATCAGATTACTGAGGATCTTTAAAGAAGCAAGAATGATGCTTTGGACAAGTTAATAGTAATGAATTGATTAGTGCGTATGAAGAAAAATGGTTGGAGAAACAGGTGTTATTTGAAAAGCAATGATGGTGCCCGGCGCGGTGGCGCAGTGGTTAAGGTCCTCGCCTTGCACGCCCGGGATCCCATACGGGCGCCGCTTCTTTTTTTTTTTTCAAGATCTTTTTTCTTTTAATTTTTAAAAATATTTATTTTATTGTATATGGGAAAGACAGATATACAAAGAGAGACAGGCAGAAAAATCTTCCATCTAATTGTTCATCCTCCAAGTGGCTGTAATGGCTTGAGCTGAGCCAATCCAAAGCCAGGAATCAGGAGCTTCCTCCAGGTCTCCTGTGTTCATGCATGGTCCCAAGGCTTCGGACCATCCTCTACCACTTTCCAGGTAGCAGGGAGCTTATTTTTTTCCATTTGTTTGGTTTCACTGTCTGTTAATTTTTCCTTCTGTACCTTCTTTGAGCTTGTTACAGTTTTCCACAAAGTGACTCATGTCAGATAACTTTACTCTTTCCTGTTTTCTTCTTGAGGATATTCTTCCAGGACACTGCCATTCCCCTTCCCTCTCCTTCTCTCAGTAGGTGCTGGCTTCCTGGCATTGTTCCACTGCTGATGAACCAGGATTCCTTTGCCTTTTCTTGAATGACATGCTAAATTTTTTCTTGTCTTACTCTTCTGTTTGTGGCATGTATCTTATGGTCATTTCTGTAGAAAGGATGTGTAGAAGAAAAAAATCTTGATTCACTTCTGTAACTTGATAATTTACCTGAACAATTCCAAAATGAAAATCACTTTTCTGTAGAATTTACAAAGGGAATTCTGCTATTCCATTTTTTAAAAGTGAAGACAAGTGTTTTTTTTTTTTAAAGGAATGTTTTATTGGTTCATTTGACAAGCAGATTGATCACACACACACACACACACACATGCAAGTACACAGAGAGGTAGGAAGAGAGACAGACAGATATGAGTGAACAAGAGATTCGAGAGATAGAGAAACCAATGTTTTATCTACTGTTCCACTCCCCAAGTTCTCTGAACAGCTAATCTGGGCCAGGCTAACCCAGGAACTCAGGATCCCTTCTAGGTCTCCCACATAGGTAGCAAGGAACCCAAGAACTGGGCCAGTATTCGCTGTCTTCCCAAGTGCATTACCAGGAAACTGGGTCACAAGCACAGTGGCTGTGTTTCCAGTTGACACTGCATTACGCAGTCCACTGTACCAAAATATGTCTCAGGATTAAAGTTTTTTTTTTTTTTAATTTAACTGTGTTAGAAAAATAAATACAATAGATGTTTTTGGGTTTCAGGTTATAAAATTTTCAAAATGTTTTAAAGGTGAAGAGAGGTTTAAGGAAGTGGGACTAGGAGTGGTCAGGTGTCCTCATCCTCAGACTTTGCAGTGCTTAGAGAATGAAGATACCAAGATCCAAGTGAGTTGAGTGTGTGGTGTGGTTGGGGTGCAGCGAGTTGAGAGACCCTGTCAAGGAGGTTTGAATGTATTTTTTGGTCAGCATTTTTACCCAGCTGTTGTCGGTGATACGAATATCTGTTCTTATGGTAGGTAAAATGAATTGACCTTCTCAGACCCCTGGCAGGCGTCTATACTCATACATGAAC